GTACCCATAATGACATCAATGGTGTCAACGATTTTAATCTATATTTTATCTCTAAATAGTACATATAAAATATCACATAAATACTAATTAATATAATTCATAAAATAGTGCTAATATTTATACATAATTATTATTAATATTACTTATCAAAGATAGTATTTTGAAAAAATATAAAAACTTTTATTTTAAAAAATAGAGATATCATTAAATAATTTTTAATACAAACAAAATTATAGTATATTTTATAATAAAAGTAAACTTTGGTTTTAGATATTAAATCAAATACTGTGATATATTAAAGTATTTACACCAATATCTAAGTCCACACAAAAATAAAAAGATTTTTGTCAGTTTTTTTGTGGATGTTTAGTATATAAAACACGTATGAGTTATACAATACACCACACAAAACAATGTTAAGGAATGAGTCAGAGAGGATCAGCCGATAATTTTACAATAGTATATCATGTATTACTGATATATATATATATATATATATATATATATATATATATATATATATATATATATATATATATATATATATATATATATATATATATATATATATATATATATAATACTAAATAATGCTGTATATAATAATAATAAATAGATATCAATATATAGAAAAGTATACGTTTATTTTCCACACATAACATTAAAATCATTTTTTCCAATTTTGGTTTCAATTAAGAATCTGAAAATTCTTAACATAAAGATTCTGTGAACCAAATAAAATAAATAAATACTATTTACATAATATTTTCCAGTGGTTTAATAGTTTAATTATAAAAATATCATAGTTTATAAATATAATAAAGACTTTATAATATTTAATGATCAATGACTTAAAAACGTGATATTAATATTAATCATAATAGACAACATATAAAATAAATTATTTAAGAATGTTAGCTATATATATATATATATATAATAACTTATTTATAAATTAAAGTATTGCAATTTCACACTTTTCACGTTTATCACAAATAATAAATCAAAATTTATATATATATTTAAAAATGGTTAAAATATTTTATGGAAATTGTTGGGGAATGGGTGCTAAAGAAAAGGGATTATTTTAACGGAAAGGGGACTAAAACTTTGAAAAAACTATTCAATTATATCTTTTAAACAAAAAAAATATATATATAATACTGTACTATCAAAACAGCTGACTATAAATTTTCAACACAACAAATATCTTTCGTGCCAGTGATTTATTTTAGTTGTGACTAAAATTTATAGATTTTTATAACACATAAAATATATAAGTTATATATATGTATATAAAGTCAAGGCATTGCTTGTGAAAAATAGTGGTAGCAATTTATCATACATATTTTGTGAATAAAAAAATTTTGTTGCAAAAACTTAAATATATTTATTTTTATATATGTATATACAGTAGATGTATAAATATACAGTATATATATATAAAGTATAAAGACATATAATATATATATACATATATGATATATACTACTTGCGATGAAAACCTCAGAAAACACACACAAATCTCTATTGGATTGCAGAAAGAAAATACAAGTTTAATACAAACATTACTTTTTTGATATTATATGCGGTATGTGTTTGTATACGGTATATGTGTAGGCAAATAGTTATAAATATAAAATGAATAAAGTTTTTTTTGTCGCAAATATGCTATTATATATAAATATATCTACAAATATGTAAATAGAAATAAATAAAAAGCTTATTATTTTGTAGAAAATTAAAAGCCAAGTATTTATATTTGAAGTGATGGTATGTCTTAGTCTTTAATGGTATAATATGAATGTATGTGCAAAATATATAATACATATAACAAACCATTTTTTGGGATAATATTTTTAGACATTCTTTCGTAAAAAACATAACATTCCTCTTAAGGCATTTCTAGAAAACATCCAACAATATTATAGACACATAAACTTATTGTTTGACAAAAATAGTTGTGTGTATGTGTTAAATATTTTTTTGTAAAACATCAGAAAAAATATTATATAAATTATTGGATAAAAAAATATATATAAGTGTGAAATGTTTGTCAAACAATTGAAATAGAAAGTATGCCCTCAAGGGGTTAAAGGTAGTCACAAACTATACTAACATTTTCTATATATTTGACAAACAATATAATCGTATTTTTTAAGAAACGCTTTATATTTAGAGAAAAATTTTGATTTTGAAAATTCATTGCATATCATTATATCGCCTATTCTTACATATACTAAAAAATGCAATTTTCATATATAAAATTAGTCTTAAATTTATGCCACACAATAAACTTATATCATATTTATTATATGATGTTTATTATTAATATGCTTGAAAAATGTAATATATAAATATATTATATAAACATATCTATTAAAAGCTAAAGCTAATACCCATTAATTTTTTTAAGCAAAAAAATCGATAACTAAAAAAATTAACACATAAAATATAGACATTAGCTTTTCAGTACAATAGCTAAATAATGTGTTCACAAAAAAAAGTAATAAATGAGAGAAACACTGTTTGGAAGGAGAATGAAAAACATTAAGCGAATGAATATCCATATAATTTAATATATAATCGATAGTCAAATGCTTTCAAACAATTTTCTACACTTTATTAGCTGTTGTTTGAAATAAAACAAAGAAATAAATGATATAATACAATGTCATAATGATATTTTATATAAGCATAGAGAGAGAGAGAGAGAGAGAGAGAGAGAGAGAGAGAGAGAGAGAGAGAGAGAGAGGATATGATAAATACTATTACGTAAAAAATACATCTCATTTAATAATCAAAATACAAATGCTAGAAAAATTTAGATTACTTTTGTTGTAATTTAATAAAAATAACAAACATACAAAAAAATATGAGTAAAAAATGAGCAAAAAAAATGTTGGAAAAATCTGTATATATTTTTTAGGAAATAAATATTGATATATAATGATAAAAACGAGTGTTTGAGAGCACAGGCATAGCGAGTACAGCCATCAACAGCACGTGTTGTTTTTGTAAGCTTTCGGGAGTAATATTGTAAATGGATTGAGTCACGGGATTATATACTAATGAAAAATGAACGGACAGTAAGTTTTTTTTGGGTAAACTAATGGCAAAGGACTGGCAGTTATTTTTCTGTAGACTTGAAATGAACAATGGATTTACAGTTATTGTTGAAAAAATGTATATATTTTCCTATTTATTGATGTATTTTTTCCTAACTATTAATGTTTTTAATGAAATACAACATTTATGATGTTTTTAGTTATAATATATGGCAAATTTAAGTTATATTTTGTTGTTATAGTTTTATGTTTAAATAGTAAAATGAAAATAAAATATCATTAAAAGAAACAATAATTTATATTTTCAAAAAACAATTAATAACAATAATATATATATTGATAACAATATTTTATATGAATTTCATATATGAAATGTTAACAAATATTCAAAAGTCATCGATAATACTATATATATAACAATATATAAAATCTATATAATAATTGTCAGTTTATTGATAGAAGAGGAGCTGTCATTCAATAAAACGGACAGATGTTTATACAAAAAATAATAATAATAACAACAATAGAGTATAAAAGGGTTGTACTGTATATAACTTATAAGGTTAAGCAGGAAACTGGAGAGCGTTTTTACACCAAACAATAAAGTGGCGATAAATTTACAGTTTAGTTATCAAACACATCATAAATTTGTTAATTTAGTGGATTGTAATGTATTTTTTGGCAATTTTGGTAATATCACACACACAGACACACCACCACCACATCGGCAAATATATATATGTGTTATATGTCCGCACATTTATGCCATATACTCTATGTGTTAAATCTAACGATCCTTTCATAATATATATATATATATACCGTATATAAGATGTACAATATATGTGTTATGTTGTGTATGTTATGACTAACAATAAATTTTTTTAGGCATCAGTTATATCGTGTGTTTGGTAATAACTGGCCATTTATATGGATTGCTTGTTAGATGTTTAATCCCGTATGAAAAATGTTGTTATAAAATAAATAAAACAAATAATAAATGAATGATTGAATGAGGACTACTCGTTACTTATGATATTTCCTGTTAATTCCCAATAATTTATAAGCAATTATTATTTTGTTGGTATTTTTGTAAAGATTTATACCATATTTCCAATATAGACAGTATATACTAAAGAAAAACGATGTATGGTTTTAATATATCAATAAATATATTGATTTATACGTAAAATAAATATCACATATAAATAGGAATTCAAATATTGATTAAACATTATTTTTAAAACAATTATATAAACAAATAATTATATAGTTTTTGTTGTTGTTTTTTGTATTATAATCCAAAAATTCATAGATAATCTATAGTTGTAAAATAAATTTGATCTCTGCACCAAAACATCTCATATATATAAATTTATATAACATTATTTATATCATATATCAATATAGTATATATTGTTTAACAAATAATAATGAAGTAATGGATAAATACTTAGATGTATAATAAATAAAATAAGCAAACATTAAGACAGACAACACAAATAACAGCAATATATATATAAAACAAATGAAATTCTGGTTATAAATACAATTCTTGGCATTTAATATCAGAATAATAGGCCATCATTTCAATGATAGTATTTTTGAGAGCAAAACACATGCAAAATACATACCAAACATAATAAAACACATAATAAAAACATTTTGTTATTGTTATTGTTGTCGCTATTTGAGTGCAACAATAGATAGAAAATAGAGAAAAGACATCAAAAAAGTCAACAATAATATAATTTTTGTCTCTTTTATGGTTTTGTTGGACACCAGTTGTGTTTTGTCTCACACATCAAATTAAATGATAGTTTTGTATTAGAAACCAGACTTTATAGTCGAGAGTTAATTATATATTTATAATCATATGTCGATAGAAATGTTTTGATAAAAAGTTTATAATTAATTATTTTATGACAATACCTATGAGTATAGGGAGAAGTAGTTGTGTCCATTGGCACCGGTAATGGCAAAGTTGGTAATGAATTCGATGAAGAAATATTAGATCCATTAGATCCAGATGTAGATGGGTTAGTATACATGAGATAATTTTGATAATAAGACAATGTATTAATGTCAGTCAAGTGGACAATTGAGGGCCAGTATTGACATAAATGTTGATAGCAATGATTAATATTAAGCACCGGTACGTAAAATACGGCCGATAATTGTAAATTTGAGTTGAGAATATTGGATTGATTTGGACACCAAACTAATGGCACATAAGGTAACAGATGATAGTGAGCTAACTGACCACCGTTAGATAGTAACCCGTTTTGTCTATAAATATAATTCAATGGCACTGAACTTTTCGGACGGACAGCACTGTTAGGGCAAACGGTGTGAGCTGGCAAACGAATTGTTGTTTGGTGCGCTCCAGCAGGTAATTGTATGGATGCCCTCTTATGCATCCTCATCGACACACAAACACTAACTGACTGACTGGCACTCCTAACATATACAGTACTCGTTTACTGTATTTCTGTCTCTCGCTCCGGTCTCTCAAAAATAGGGAAGGGGAGCACCACTCCAGTGTCAGCCCAACTTGCAAAACGTGTTTACTGTATACTACTGACAGTACAATTGACTGCTGAATCCAAACTAAAGGGACTCCTTTGGCAAACTATCGCGAGAGTGGCGCGTGAATACCGGTCTCCAAGTTTGTCTGTATGTATTTATGTGTGTGTGTCTGATGTCGACATCCCTCTGAATCCCTCTATATGGGCGCCCAAAATAAGTGCTGTCACAAACCTCAACTGACACAATACACTCTACTGTACTATACATATACCGTACTTATCGTCACATATGTATGATATAAGTATATGGGATGTCCTGACGTAAGAGAGTAAGTTTTTGGAGACACACTCACACATTATATTGTATAATCTGTGCCACAAATATCTATTTTAATGAACAAATTAAGACAACAACATATCATTCTCACTTAACTGCCTGTGCTCTCAATTTATATATATATATATATATCATACACATAAGTATCCTAAATAAAAATATTTATTATTATTATTGAAGTCATGGGAGCTGATAGTCATATATCTCAGTGACTGGAAAAAAGTTGAGACATAATTTTGTGCTAACAAATTAGATAACTGTTTTATTAGATATCAGACAATTTTACAAACAGACACACATATTGTGATATATTGTACACTGTATTTGTGTTAAATTAAATTTATTTTTGTTTATAATGATAAGTATGTGTTGTAGAAAACAAATATATATAATATATAGTGCATTATATATCATATAATTGCTTGTTAGATATATGTGTTTGTTATTTAAATAGTAATAAAAAACAAATTTGTTTTTCACACTGCATTTAATTAGTGTCTCATTAATTTCAAACATATAATTATAATACAACAAAAAAAAGATTTACTGATCCCACCAGTACTGGAATAGTAGCGATAATATAATGAGGGAATATTGTATGAAATTAGGATTATATCAAAATTGATGTAACCGGAAACTATAGGAAATGAGAGATTTTCATCAAAATATGTATAAATATATATATTCTGTATATAAATGTTTTGGGATTATACTGCCATAACCCTCGAAGATAGTTATCGGGTACAGTGACCGATGTGTGCACATGTATGCAAACTAATTCATATACATAATACAGTATATGGTCTAAAAATACATATATACCCATCAACTGATGAAAAACAAGATTTCAAATATGACTAAAAGATATTACAGTTTATTGAGATTACAGTCCATATACTGTCTAATGGAAACATAAGTTAATCGATAGTGTGAAGCAATAGTATTTACATATGACATGACTTTTGCATTAAAACAAAACAAATAGTGAATAAATGCATAATTATTAGTGTATTGAAAAGATCAAAAATTTCAAAGTTGAGATTTATTTTCATATATATATATATTTAATATAAAATATTTTTGATTTCAATTGGTTTAATTCATAATAAATATTTTGAATAAAAGTATTTACAATACAGAAACAAAAACATGTATTTAAGTCAATAGCTATAAACTTATGAATCGATCATCAAATGTTAATATCAATCATTTTTTTGAAATATGAAATAAGACATCACTTTATTGGTGACTATATGTTTGGGTCACACAATACTTGCACATAGAGAGAGAGAGAGAGAGAGAGAGAGAGAGAGAGCCAACCAATTCATCATTTGCTAAATCTTTTCTCAGTGTTTATGAAGACAAACATATATCATATGTTTGTCTGACTATTTTCTTAAATATAATATTAGTTTCACTTTTCCCAGTAGTTTTGTTCATTATAATCAGGGCTTCACATATGTTATTCAATATTATACATTCACTTAATCAGTAAATACTATATATTTAGTTATTATAGTGAAAATGTTGTATAGATTTTGTTGTTGCGTTGTTTCAAACAGATATGAGAAGCCAAACAACTGGCAGTCAATTAATTACTTGCATATATATATCATATTTATTGATATCATATACTCTTTTGTATATACAATGCTTTATATATAAGTTTTTATATAAATTATTTTGTGAAATGTTTAGTGCATAGTATATAACAAATTTAATATTATTTAATAATAGTAGTTAACTGTAACATGTATTGACAATCAATTAAAGTACCATTTCAATAAATACATTAACCAGAGTTTTTTTTAAATATAAATATAATGTATATTTTCAAATCTATTTATTAACATGTAATGCAATATATTAGATTATAACACTACACTATATGCTTATAATGGGTGCAAAATGTATATTATAAAATATTCATAGACACAAAATGGGCTGTAAATAGGTGCTTAAATGTATGGGGTTTATAAAAATGTATATAAATGTATATAAAAGCAGCAATGCTATAATGTATATTAAATTACATTTGATGTGTGTGTACTTACTATATATAGTTTATATGTAATATAATAAAATTAGGATTTATAGTAAAATATTGTATGAGTTGACAGTAAAAGAGAGATCTCTTATGATTTAGAGATAGTTATCAATTTTATGAGGATATGCTTTATATGGCTGTGGATGCTATGGATATGACTGACTGCTAGTGTTGGGAAACATCAAAACTAATAAAAGCTTTTTAAAAAATAACACATGAAATGTATATACAGTATATGTATTTGTGTTATAATAATAGCAGAAAAATGGATGCAATCACGTATTGAATTGAAGATTTGCTCTTTTATTCTCACATTGCTTTAGTTTGACTTTGAAAATACACACATCAAACACACACACACACACACACACACACACACACACACACACACACACACACACACACACACACACACACACACTCACAACACACACATAACAGTACTAATATTATAAATTATAGTTTGTCCTCCAATATTTGGCATCAAATATTTTCAAGTATTTTATTATAAGTCAAATTTTTTTATTATTTGACAAAACTTCAGTTTTCATTGGCTATATAAAGCATAAAAAATATACTATTATTACTTTATAATATAATATAATAAGATATATTAATATTTTGTATTTTATATGTAATTTAACCCTTCATACATAAATAGACTATTTATGTTAGTAATTAAATAAATAAATAATGTTATATATATATGAATAATTTTAAAAGTTATATTATAAAATATTTACAGTAATAAGTATATCAAATATTCAGTATATCTTTTAAATAAATATAAATTTAGTAAAGAATATACATTAGATTATTATATGATATAATTTATATCTATATATGTACTGTTAAATATCAAAATGCATATTCATAACTATTTTAAATTTAAATAGTGATAAAATAGACTGTTATTTTTTCAGGACATATAAATAACAACAACAAAAACAAATGCAAGAAAATAATAAACATCTCATTCTCAACACATTTATATTTAACTACTATATCATGAAATAAATATTTAGTTGAAAACACATTATTTTTTTTGCTGACTAATCACCACTTGGTTTGTGGCAAAAATAATTTTTTTTAATTAGTTTTTTAGGAGTCATATTTTATGCAGTATTTAAATTTATTTGTATTATATTTTTTTATAAATACTTACTATTTTACAACTAATTAGTGGTTTTAAAATAAATTTTATAATTTTTTCTTAGCTTTTATTCTCATAGATTTATCGATATGTTTTGTTGTCTTTAAATATCGTTTAATCAAATAGTTTTTAAATCATTAAATATTTCTCTCGTACATATCAAATAAGTTAACTGTAATATTATTTGCAACAAAATTAATTTTTTGATAGTTTAATATAATGGTAAACTATTTAATTGAGAACTTTTAATTAAATATTTAATTTTAAATGAAATTAAAGTAAAATAAATAAATGCAAGACTTTTTATATATGGGTAAATAATACCGATGTATTTTTAAAACACTTTAAAACTAATTAATATTTTAGTATATATATATATACAGTATTTATTAGATGTTTTATATTTACATAAATTTTTATCTTAAAAATATCTAAATTTTGTTATTTACTTTTGAAAATATATCAATTTGTTAGATATCAGAAAATGTATTGCTATAAACACTAAATATCTAAAGTAACTTATTTTAACATTTAATTGATTGATTAGTTTTAATGTAAAAAAGTTTCAAAACTCCAAAGATTGACTCTAGAGATATAAAATTATTTGCAAAAAGTAAAATAAATTTATATTAGATTTAATTTAATAGCAAATTTAAACAAATTGCTGCCAAATAGCAAATAACGAAATAACTTTTTTCCTAAATGAATGGCAAATACATTAAAAAACATTAAAAGCTATTTATGACGACTATTAATAGCAATAGCATTGCTTTTGAACATAAAAACAAAGACTTAATCTATGATGCAATGGGTTGTCACATATCGGATGACATCACATAAGATAAAGACAATATTTACATGAAATATCAGTCTCTTTTAAAATTAAGGAGAGAGAGAGAGAGAGAGAGAGAGAGAGAGAGACCGGTAGGTATACTATACATATTGATATAAATAGCAGTGTGAATGCACACAAATGATGACTTAATGAGTAAAGAGAGTATTAGTTCACTTGAGAGTGAAAAAGAGAGGTTGTCTGAGGAAGAGATATATGAGGGAGTGTAGTCAATGTTGGTGTGTGTGTGTGTGCAGCTGCTAAACACCGGTGCTTTCATTTAATAGTCATACATATGCTGTATAAGCTTATGAAAAAAGGTCTTTTTATTTCTTATTTTGTAAAATGTATTGCAATTCATACATCAGTAGACAACATATAGGCAACAGCTGCCGGATATTAGGCACTAGAAGTTGTGAGACGACCGTCCTTTCAATTACATGTGTGCGAAAAATGAATGAATGAGTGAGTGAGAGGGAGAGAGAGAGAGAGAGAGAGAGAGAGAGAGAGAGAGATTTGATACAATAATATAAAATATGTTTAATATACTTAACTTTTATCAAAAATGATGATTAATAAAATCATTGATACTTAAATGCTTAAAAGTTATAACTCTATGATATAGTTGAATGAAATTACATTTGATTTGTTTAGTGACCGACAACACAAAAACACATAATAGTAGGAAAAGGTGTTGTCATAAATTTACAGTATTATCAATACATTATTTTAGGGCCAAATAACATATCAATTGTAACTTTCCTTTTTCCTTTAATTATCAAATTTTTATTTACGAACATTTAAAATATATACTTATTTTATACATAAACGGAAATGTATTGAATATATATTTTTAAAAACATTTTATGTCAGAAATACCCTAAAAAATAGTGTTTCACATGTTTTTGTATTTTATGTTATGTTTTGTTCGGTAAAAATAAGACTTAACACATATTAATTGGTAATAC